TCCCCTTGAAACTCTAGTTCTCTAGCTTCTCAGGTCCCCGAGTTAGCAACATACCCGAGAAAAAAAATCTCACGAGCCCGTGCCTGGATGACATGCATACCCGGTGCCTGAGTTTGAGTTCATTGATACTTACGTGGACGGAAAATATCCCCTTAAAATTATAGCCTTCTACCTTTTTAGTTTTTCGAGTCAGCAAGTTACTGAAAAAAATCTTCCACCGGCCCGTACGTGGGAACCACGCTTACCCTGTACCTGGGTTTGAGCTCATTGATTCTTACACGGACGGTGAACATCTCCTTAAAATTTCAGTTTTCTAGCTTTTCGGGTTCCCAAGTTAGCGACTTACCCCGCAAAAAATTTTCACGGACCCGCACATGGGCACCACGTGGGTAAGAGCACCCATTTTGGAGATAGAGGCCGGTACTTGCATGTAGATTAATTTCCCAAAGTTTCAGTCCTGAAGCTTTCATAGGTCTTGGGATGAAAAGCCGTGAAATACGCACACACAGGCACACACATGCACACACACACACACACACACACATACACATACACACAGACAACCCCTCTCAATATGCGTTTTCTGCACTGCATAGCTGCAAAAAACGCATTAAAAAACTTCTGGGATTTTATGGTCTCCTGGAATTCTAGAATTATGCGAATTTTCATTCTGATACGCGCACTTCCTAATAAAAAAGGTAAGTATCAGTTGCCTCGGGTGGCTCCGACACCTCAGTAAACTAACTAATAACAGGTGTAGTAGTAGCTGATCATATTCACCTTATCAAGCTGAGATGTTATTGCAGAAGCCAGCGGTAGGCATTGTGCAAGCGATTCCAGCTCCCTGTTTTCTTGATCACGTCGGTTCCGAGCGCTCATTGACTTTCTTAAAAAGTGTGTTTCACTAAGTGATCGTATTGTTTATTATGGAAAGAGAGCTGATGTCGATAACTGATGCTATGCGTAAAAGGAGGATGAGAAGCCAAACGAACATCTGCCAGAATTCGTTCAACCACAACAAAATTAGAAGCTAGGGGGGAGGGGGCGGTACTGAAGGGGGGTTGGGAATGTCGAGGTGAGCTTCGAATTTGAGCGTGAGACAATGCTTTTTTCCCTTAAAACAATTCGTTTTTCGAAATGGAATAATAATAATGTTTGCTTTGCCGGGCACTCTGTTTCATTTGCGTAGGTTTTTTTTTCTGAAAGCTAAAATGCGCCCACATGCACAACAAAAAATATCAGCCGTCAAGGAAATC